AATACTCCTTCTGAATCCATTTCAAATTGTATATCGGCAATCATTTTTCCTCAAATGGTCTCATTGATTTAAACATAAGGTTCGATGATAAAACTTTAAAGTGTTATAAAGCACCTTATAGTCTTATAGTTTATTCTTTTTAATCTTCAAAAGTTTTTTTCTTTTTTTTCTTCAAAAGTTATTACATAAAGCTCAGTATTCTTATTATATTATTTGAAAAGACCACATCATATCCTTTATTGACTTTTATAAAACAGACTTTTATATAACAAATTCTTAACCAAAAGTTTTTTAAGCCTATTTATTAATCCCAAACTAAAAGCTTTATTAGGTGAGCATGACCTGTTGAATGCATGCTGGTTAAATTTTAAAAATGACCTCCTTTCTTATATGATTGAAACATTACAAGCAATTAGTTTTCCTTGATTTGAATTCAAACTTTTTATTTACTTAAACCTACCTTACCCTTAAATTCTTATAAATTATAGCTAACCTTTTCTTTACTTTAAAAGTTTATAAAAAAAATGGTAAGAATTAGTTGCAAAGCAAAATAGTAGAAGTTTTAATTCTTTAACTTAAAGTAATATTTTAAAAAATGTCGTTTTTACCCTTTGTTAATTAGGTATTTTTATACTCACACACAGGGGCGGACTGGCCAAATTATTATGATGTGGAAAAATATTTTTAACGGCCCTGTAGGCCAACGAAAAATGAGGAAAAGCAGCAAAGATAACAGACGTAAATTACAAAGTTATGCTTAATTTATAAATATATACATTAATGAATAAATATCGAACAGAAAAAATTTATTAGAATACATATACGTAAAAACAAAGTACTTAACAACGGCCCATGTGGAATAGTCCACATCTTCCACATGGCCAGTCCGCCCCTGCTCACACATCTTTTTAAAAACATTTGGGTCTAACAGTTATTTGAATAAATTTGAATTCTTTTTTGCTGTTGTGTGTGTGTGTGTGTGTGTGTGTGTGTGTGTGTGTGTGTGTGTGTGTGTGTGTTTATATATATATATATATATTTATATATATATATATATATATATATATATATATATATATATATATATATATATATATATATATATATATATATATATATATATATATATATATATATTTTTTTTTGAATGTAGACATCATGTATGAGAGAGTATGTAAATTATTATTTTATAAACATCAATAAATACGAATTTCTCTCGATACTAAATTTCTTTTAAAAAATAAATATATATATATATACTCTTAAATAGTATTTTAGCGATGTTATTAGTGTTATTAGCGATGTTTTTTAAAGAATTAAACATTTTTATAAATTGCCAAAAAAGGGGTCGAAACTTTTTGAACTTATCCAAATATTTTCCTGTAACTGCAGCCTGGAAAACACGGCCGGTCAACGGTCAACGACCGTCCGAAATAACTAAAACTGCCGTTTTGACTTAATATACTCCCAAAAAAACTTGCTGGTCATGGTTGACCGGCTGAAAAAATATTAGATTTTTGAAAAATGTTTGACAAATAATCACGATGCTATTTGGAAAAACTATATACTAAAATTTTATGAAAACATTTAAATTTTGAAAAAGCGTTAATTGTTTACGATATGCTTTGTTGACGAATATTGTATATGATATGATATAAACTATAGGTCGGGTGAATAAAAAAAAGCAAGTGCTTTTACTCTGTAATTGCTCAGCTTTACGTGAATAAAATTGTAGGGATCAAATGATTAAATTTTTATTTACATAAAGTTGAGCAATTACTCAGCGTTTTTGGAGTAAATTGCTCGGCTATACGTGAATAAAAATTTGAGCCGTTTTTCTTAAATTTTTAGTTACGTAAATGTGCATTTATTACTAAAACGCTGAGTGAAAGCAATTGCTTTTTTTTATCCACCCGGCCTTACATCTATTAATTTTTATGCTTCACTTATTTAGATTAGCAGGTGGTGAAAATCTTCTTTTCATAATTGATGGAATTTCTTATTTTATTATTATTTTAATAAAAATATTCAGTACATTATTTTAATAATGAATTAAAAACTCAATAATTACTGTATTTAACTAGAAACATTTTTCCTTTCAACTGTACTATTTTTATTTATTTTCTGGTAAATTTTTGCCGCAAATTGCAATCAATAAATGATTTACTATTACCATTTGGGCGTAAAATTCTAAATTTAGTAAAAATCTCGTTTTATGTAACTTTAGTGATATTATAGTAGTATTTCATAAAGCGATCGACTTCATTGTAATCAGTTTAAGTATTTACGCAGGAGAGTTAATAACAGTAATATTAACGATTAACAGTTAATATTAACGATTAGCAGTTTTTCAAACGATCTTAATTAAATGCAGAAATAAAATCTGCAATCGTTTTTCTTCTTTAACGTCGTTAACTTTAAAGAATGAAAATCTTATCTTATTATTATTTGAAATTGTTGAATGTAACTATTTTTTTATTTTATTCAATGCTTTCATTTTTTTTTTTTTTTTTTTTTTCGTAGCTTTACATTCGTAGCTAGTAGCGAAGTCATTGCGAAAAATGTTTTTAAATAAATTTAAAATTATCAATTGCACGTTGGCATATATTTTTTGGCATATTTGCGCGTTGGCACAATTTTTATTATTTTATAGAATCGGCCATCAACCCATCAAAATAGTGGCGACTAAAAAAAAGACAAACAGCACTTTCATTTTTAACGCAAGCAGGATTGGATCTAAAACCACCTGTTGAAAGAAAAAAACTCTACGATAGAAATTTTATAAACTTATATTTAAAAATACATTTTTAGTAAAAACATCGTTTTATGTAACGTAACTTATTGTTATTGTAGCATTTCATAAAACAATTTTTTATACTATTAAATTTTCAGTTAACATTTTTTTAATATTTAAAAAGATTGTTTCGATAAAAAAATTCAACGATAAATTATTTATATAAGGTTATCAAACTTCCTTTTTTTAAATTGAATGAAAATCTATGTGCGCGAGAATTTTTTAGAACTATTAACATTATCAGGTAGTTATAACATTTTTTATTTGCAAGTTTCCATTTTAAAAGTGGTTGATTTTATTTAAAATTGTTATTTTAAAAGGAATACGAATTTATTAATTTTCAAACATTAAGTTATTTTTGTATTTATAAAGTTCATTCATGAGGAACTAATACAAAGATAAAAATTTAAACAAAGAAAAAAATAAAAATTTGATCGTCCAAAAAAAAACAATTGATCGTCAATTCCAAGTGTTAGCCGGTCGAATTGACTTATAGCGTTCAATTTCTTATTTTCCACGCTGACCCGCCTCTAGAATTGGTTCCTAATCGTAGATAAACTTTCAAAAAATCGTAGATAAACTTTCAAAAAATCGTAGATAAACTTTCAAAAAATAGTTATTGTTATTGCAAATTTGAAACAAATTTTAATTATTAGCTTAGGAAGAAATATTTATATGATTACTGAAATATAAATAATTACGAGAAATATTTACTGTTACAAAAATATTAGTAATGTTAACAAAACACAGCAACGGTTTCCAACAATATAATTAAACAATGTTTTGTTTTTCTATAAATAAAAATAAATTTAATATCAATCTAAGTTGGTTCGTTTATCTCACTACGAGAAATCCATTACTGAAAAATTTTTCGAATAAACAAATTACTGGCGAAAAATGCTGTATAAAAATTACATTTACTTCCTCAGTACAGGATATTCTCCTTTTCTCAGTATTTGTGTCAACAATTGTTTATTGCTTTTTTTTTCTGTTTTTCATTCTCACTAATTCACTCATATACGTAGGTATGTGAATTTGTTTTTCGAAGCTTTTTTTTTATATACATACCATGTATGAATTTTTGATATAAGATATTTTACCAATTTATTACTTATTTTAATGGTTTCCATGTTTTTTAATCCATCAGCTAATAACTCTGCCAATGTTTAACCAACGACACTACTTAATCCAGCCACTTATCCTACCACTAACCCAATCACTAACCCATATAACACATTGGTACTTTTATTATGTTTAAAAATTATAGCAGTTGAAATAAATTATATTGAAGTTGTTTATGACAAAACCTTTATCTTAAGTTAACTTTCTTAATCTTTGAAAAAGTGAATTTGTAATTTAAAATGAAGGCTTTACAATTCTTTAATGAAATATAAAATTGTATTTATAATTAAGTAAATGTAAGAAGCGTAACAATGCTTATGATATGTATGTTTTAATACTTTTTGCTATTAAAATTTATTTGTTTAAAATCTTGTGTCGGCAGGTTTGCGTCGGCAGTTTTGGCTTATTGATTCTCAAAAAGTAATTAGATCATATTGATATTCGTGAATGTTCAAATGTTTTATAACATATGCATATTACTTCCAATTTATAATATATTGCAAATGTGAAATGTTTTATTTTGCAATAAAAAGTAATTTAAACTGCAATTAAGAGCCTTGAATCAAAAATAAAATTTCAATATACATTAATTGACTTCTAAAAATGTATTAGTAGAAAAAAATAGCGATAGAAATTATTAGTTATTGATTAAAACAAAAAATTTAGCAAAATTCAAGTTAATTACACCTAAAATCTTGTTATTGATATATTTCCCAGCTGGCATTTGCTGTTAAAAAGACGCCATTTTAACGTTCAAAAAACGTTCAGAACGTCTTTTGAACATTCATAAGACGTCTTTTTAGCACCAAAAGCCGGCTGGGTTATAAGTGATCACCCATGTTAACGCTATGGCTGTAGCCACCATATCATCTAAACAATGGCACCAATCAGTTTTGTTGATAGTTAAACAAAAAAACATTTTGATTCAACACACTTTAAACATTCTAGCTTAAAAAATTTAATTTGATGAAATTATAATAAGTAAAAAATGAATATAGAAAAATAAATCTTTTTTATAAAGTATTAGTAGAATAAATAAAAAATATGTAATTGCTGCATATTAATATATGAATTTTTTAAATAGATTTGTTTAAATTGAAGAAATGGATCAAACTCCTTACGATCTTAGTTCAAGAATTTTAGTATACCAAGAAAAGTTTGACTTAATATTCGAAAATATCATCAAGGAACTGGTTGAAGTTGATGCACAAAATCCACAAATTACAGAGGCAGCACATTCTCTTCGTGATGCATTAAGTTATAACGCTTTTGACGGGAAAAAGTCACGAGGGATGATGGTGATATGCTCTTTGGACTTTCTCAAAAACGGTAACGTTACAAATTCTGAAGTTGATAAAGCGCTTTGTCTGGGGTGGTGTGTTGAAATTCTTCAAGCTGTTTTTCTTGTTGCTGACGACATTATGGATCGCTCAGAAATTCGTCGTGGAAAACCTTGTTGGTATAAAAAATGTGGACTAAGAGCAATTAATGACACTTACCTAATGGAGCAATGTATCTATGCATTAATTGACAAACATTTTATGAACGAACCATATTTAGTGGATTTATATAAATCTTTTCATAGAATAACATATTTAACTGCTATGGGTCAAGAACTTGATATGCTTGCTTCAGAACCAAACGGAAATTTTACTATTCGCAATTTCACTGAAGATAAATACAAATCTATTGTCAAGTATAAGACGGCTTATTACTCATTTTACCTTCCTGTTTCTTTGGGTATGATTCTTGCCAATATAAAAGATATGAAATTGTATGCAGAAGTAGAAAATATTTTAATGAAATTAGGTGAGCTTTTTCAAATTCAAGACGACTATTTGGATTGCTATGGTGATCCAGCGAAGATCGGAAAGGTTGGGCGGGATATTGAAGATGGCAAATGTTCCTGGTTAATAGTGCAGGCTCTGAGACTTGCTTCCACCGAAGAGTTATTACTTTTAGAGTCTAATTATGGAAATGAAAACCCAACCTGTGTAAAAATCGTAAAAGATTTATATGTAAATTTGGGTTTGAAAGAAATTTTTAAAAAATTTGAGGAAGAATGTTACACCGAGTTGTTAACGTTAATTAATAAATATGAAAATGATTTTCCTAAAGGTTTGTTTTTAATATTACTTCAAAAGATTTACAAACGTGATAAATAATATCTTTAGTTATAGAATTAGAATCATCATTTAAAAATGAATAAATTTACTCAATATCCTATGTAGTTTTTCTTTAAGAGTATAAAAGCCTTGAGTGTAGAATCTTCAACGTTACTTGTATTAACCAATTTTTTTTCTTAGCGGACAATCGCAAAACTGTTTTTTTAATAAAAATGTTTTTAAAAATTTTATTTAAAATTTTGGCGTAGCATTGCAACCATTGTTACAATTTTTGTGTAAATTTTTATACTATAATTGTATTTTTTGTTTGTCTTAAGATACGTCTAGCACAGACCCCTAACTCTCAACTAGTAAAATGTTTTTTAAAGTCACAATCATTATGGCAAATCATAATATATATATAGGGCTGGTGAGGCAGGTAGATATTAACGGTAGCGCTCACAGTTCAGCAAGCCATACCTGAAGATAACAAATGCTGTACATTACGTGCTACATAAGTGGTAATCACTGTTCAGTATTTCCTACTTGTTATGTACTGAATACTTAACTCAGGTACCGTGTACTAACAACGAAAAAAATCGTTATTAAAGAAAATCTTTATTGCTTTAAATTTATTTATTTTTTTAAATCATTAGTTACAATTAGTTTTGTAACATGAATTAGGATACTAAATAAATTAATTCTTATTGTCTTTAAACATATTATGGATATAAACTTTTTTAAATAAAAGATATTTTAAAAGATTACTAACCTCTCTCAATTTAATAATAACAATAATCAGTAATAATCAGAGTTGTAAATCCTTATTTGGCCTTAGCCTTGACCTGGCCTAAGGCTTTGGCCTTGACCTTAACCTTAATTGTTTTAGCCTTGGCATTTATAATAAAATACATAAAATTAAAGAAATCAAAGTTTTCATTATTTTACATAATTAATCACTTAATTAATCATTCTTTATTTTACGTAATTACTTTATTAACGTAAGGCAAAATTTCAAGTCTTTGGCCTTGAAAATGTTTGCGTAGGCGTTGACCTTGAAACTCTTATTCTTGGCCTTAACCTTGTAACATGTGCCTTAACTTTGTAAGTTTTGGCCTTGGTCTTGGCTTTGCAACATATGTCCTTGGCTATCAAAATTTTTCACTTCTTTCCAAATATTCTGGAAATCCTGATAATAAATACTTCTCAATATCATAGTTGTTTATTAATTATTCTTGCTCCATAGACCTCTGTTGATTATTTATATAAAATAATAATAAAAAAGTTATGTTTCTATTTTGTTTTTAAAATAATAAAAAATATACTTTTATAATATTACAGAAGATGTGTTCATAGCAAATATATCGTTACCTTAGCAAATATATCGTTAAAAGATCTTTACAGAAATCAGTAATAACAAAGTTTTTTTATTTTGTTTGATCTAACATTGTACACAAAATAAAAATTTTATATCACTGAACTTTTGAAGTTTGATTTTATAATTTTATCTAAGTTTACGATTACTATACGATTAGTAAAAAAATATATGTTTTGCTTATTTTTTCGCAATTATTAAATTGTTTTATTAAAAAAATGTAAAGTATTTGGTACCCAAGCACAGTGTTCGGTATCTAGGTAGGATGGACTAGTCAAGTGACGTACCGTCATGTAGGAGTCACTGAACAGTTATGTGTTCCAATTAAGTACTTCGTACCCCCAACACCGACGCCAATTGGGGGAGGGGGTATATAGTTATTTAATATACATATATACAATATATACTACAGGGCCGTAACTAGGAGGGGGGAGGATGAATATATTGGCTGTCACCCTCTTTTTTACGTGTGACCACGACAAGTAATCGTGTAGTCCGATTTTTTAAATGTTGTTGACGAAATGTAAAAATTGTTAATAGAGTGTCTAGTTAAGTATCTCTTATTAATTATAGTGAAATATGGCTGAAAATATGACGAAAGCATGCTATTGTGAAGTTTAAACATAGACAATAAATTTTGATAAAAATTTAGTTCGCATACATTTAAGCATTAATTTGTTTTTAGTAACGGCTTGTCCTATGCTTATATGTTTGCATTAAAAATCAACCGAATCGCTTGCTTTTATTTGCTATAACTTTTTTTTACTGAAGTTGACTGAGTTCTTGCCAAAGCTAAATTACAGTAACTAATATAGCTATGGATAAATGAAAAATATAAATTTTTTAGCCACATTTTATTTAAAAAGTGCCTCATTTTGAAAATGATCCCCAAAGTTGAAGAGATTTTATTTTCTATTAATTTAATATGATTTTTCCAATTTATGTGACTCAAAAATTGATTGCAATTTGATGTTAAGAGACAGACCAACAGACAGAGACGAGGAATTAATAAAAGCATTCGGGAAAAAGTAAAAATGCATTGGCAATAAATTTTTGCAAGTTGATCTTAAAATCTGCTTTAGAGTTTGGTTTATAATGCGCTCGCAGTTTCAAATGAAAGTGCGCGCATCACAGTGTTATAAAACAGGTTCTAACCTTAACTTTCTGACCCGGGAAAACCCTTGGTGGAATAATAGCCTTTACTATGGGGATCACTTAGATATAAGTATCAAAATCAGATTGCAACGTCCTGGCAAGTTATTTAAATTTAAATATTCATCTCATTAAACACAAACGTGTTTTTAACGTTTAATAAACGTATTAATACGTATTAAAATGTATTATAAACGTATTAATCACGTCTTGTGTTTAATAGAACATTTTGTTGATTGCACAAACATGCAACATGAGAGCTTATTTTACTTTTTACCGTAGTAAAAAATCTCCAATTTACATCAATATAAACTAGGAAAGCAAAATGATATATTATATATATATTCACAAAAAGATTGTTTCTTTAACACAAATATATTTAGAAAAATAATGTTTCTTTTAAACGAAATAAATTCAAAAATAATTCATTCTTAAATCTTTTCTTAAAATGATTTTTCACAAGCAATATTTACTATTGAAGTCAACGAGACAACATTGTAACTTCTTACTGGATTCGGGATGATGATTGGGTCTTTTGTACCTTTGCCAATGTATCTAAAAGTTGTGATGCATTGCTTCTGTTGCCTGTATGAGTAAAGCCCAAAAGCTTGACCATGTCTGTTGATGAAATCTTTCACATGGAAAAATACTACATGGATCTTGGATGTTACAGACACATTTTGCAATGCCAGATGACATTCTGAATGCTTCAATTATTTGTGGGTAGTTTGGATCAAGGTTGCATCCAAAACTGCCAGGCACTACTAAATTTATTAAAAGCATCAATGAATAAGATGTCTGCATAGTATGAATGAGATGTCTGCATAGTATGAGTGTTTCTAAGCAATTGATTGAAGAACATTAGTATTGCGTAGCCACTTTCTGGACTTAGTTCCTGGAAAATGTCCATCATGGTAAGGTTGTTGTTTAATGTGTAATGCATCAACCCAAAGAGTTGCTTGAAGAAAAACTTCCAGCAGCGCAGCAAAAAAACAATTAAAAAATCCAATTAGGAGATGCAATTCTATGGGAGGAAAGAACTTCAAAACTAAAGTCTCCAAGTAGTTTAAATATTTGAGAATGAACAACATTTTTGTAGTCACGAGCTTTTCTAATATTGAACCTGCTGACTTGAAGATTTGATTAAAAAAGACCTGATTAAAAAGTCCTCAGTTTTTCTTGATTTACAAGTTCTTTTAAACCAAACTCACACCAGGTTCAGCAATGTGCACATGAGTGTGCTTGAAGCCCACTAATAATATTTGCAAGTTTTAGATCATAGGACAGGACAAATTCCTGGTTTTTCAAATTAATCAACTCAAATACTTGCAAAACATTAGTATAATTTTTAAAAGTTTCTCAGAGACAGCAATGATGAGTTGTTGTTTGACACCAGTGTCCTTAAAAACCTTGGTTGTGCACTTGAGTTTTGCTGGGGGAATGCGAGGTTCATGATTTAATTCAATAATCCCCAGACTAACTTTTAGAAACCCATCTCTTCCGACAATTTCATCCTTTACAACGTCATTTTTTTGATGAACTTCTCACGGATTAAATTTTATTTTTAAGCTCATGGAAGTCCTTGCAATGTATCATAGTCCTCACACATCCAGCGTGATCTTGAATTGATGAACTTGTAACCGTAATTTTTCTCAACAATCTGTTGTAAAGTTGACTGTTTAATATTAACTACTAACCACTTGATACCATTGTTTAAAAGTTCTGTGTTTTCTTGAACTTGAGCACGGTCTTTTACACTTATTGATGAATTTGGAGAGAAAAGTTGTCTAACTAATGACAAACCTACAATGAATGCAAAAATTTAAAAATTTAACTTGTCATTAATTTGAATTATAAAAAACTAAATTCATACTTTTTGTTGCTGGGGGCATCCTTCCGCCGTGGAGTTGACTTAATCAAATAGTTCTATATGGAAAAGGAGCTTTACTTGAAAGCGCTGGAAATGAATGACATCTTTTTAAAGCTTTAAATTGATACAATTAAGACTTTATAATTTATTCAAAAACTCATGTATAAAAAATAAACAAACAAAAAAATACGAAACCTAATTTCCAACATCTCAAAACAAAACAATCTCTGTTCAATTTTTTACATAAACGCATTCAAGTGTGACGACTGTAGTTATTGCAGCCGTGGCGCAGTGGTTAGAGTTCTGGCTCAGAACCCAGAGGTCCGAGGTTCGACGCCAGCTCTAGCCCAACAAGCGACATTGGTACGGAAGGAGGTGTGAACTTCCTGTTAAATGCTCACCCGCGGTGCTCTATGATAAGACCGTAAGGACTTCTGGGAGCACTTAATAACATACAAAAAAAAAAAAAAAAAAAAATTGTTATTCGTAATTACCTAACTTTAATAAATATTAAAAGTATGCGGTTGCGCCTCTTACGCGTCTATTCGGTTCTGCCATAGAAGACAGTTTTTAGAAAGAATACATTTTCATAGCTTGCTTATTACGTTGATTTCAAAAATGGTTTTCACTTGATGAAATAATGCTGATAACACATATCTTTAACACTAAAATCATAAAAATTGCATAATCCTGAAAAAAAAAGGCCGGGAAAAATATGAT